GTGTTTCCCACAGGTGCAGGATCTGTTCCCCCTCCCAATCGATTGAGTGCTGATCCATCACTAGTGCTTGTTGCTAGAGCGGGGGGGGAGGGGGGGGGGCGGACTGGCCTAAAGTATCTTAGCTGCTCTGACGCCTAGGCGGGACTAGAACTCACTGTCTCCTGGCTTAGCCTGGTGCCTTAACCCCCAGAGCAAACTGGATCTCTTTTTTTGTCACCTTAACCCTCAGGTTGGAAGCAGTCACAGGCTTTGAAGAGGAGGAAGGGGAACAAGCGGCTGGGAGAACAGGTTCAGCCCCCCCCCACAACTAGGAAACGCAGGAAAGGGGGTAGCCAGGCCAGGGTTCCCACGAGACAGGACAGTCTCCTGGGGCTGCTCCTCCCCCTGTGGCAGGCTGAGAAAGACCAGGGCTGGTTTCTGATCGGCTCCTGTGAGGCCTTACAGTGGGTGGGTGGGGAGAGGGCCCCCAGACCACTTAACAAGCATTGGCCACAGCCCACCTCCCACCTGCCCTTTTGGAAAGTGGGAAGATCCTACTCCTGGTCAGCCTTTTGAGCAGGAACTCCCCCCCCTCTCTCTCCCAGTCTATGAGGAGGGGCCAACGCAAGGGGCATGGGCCAGAAATTCATGGCTCCTGCTGCCTTGGGGGCTCCCAGCTAAGGGCACCGTTGGGCTCTGTTGTCCCTTCTCTGGGCACTGCCAGATCTGGAGCTCAGTGTTGCCAGCCAGCATCCCTTCTCTGCACACACGTCTCCCCCCCACCTCCATTTGCAGGGTCTGGAGAGACCCTCCCGCATCCCTTTTGCTGGTTTCCCCTTGTTTGCCCAGGCTGTGCACCAAGAGACTTCCAACTTGCTGGGCAGTGCAATCCCCTTGGTTGCCCTTCACCCAGGCCCTCCCTTAGCTCTGAGCTGCTGCCCTCCCGCCCAGCCTCCACTCACCTCCTGAGCAGCCACTCCTACGCGAAACAACTCTGGCCCCAGCCTGCTCTCACCCCCATCCCCTCTCTGTCTCTCAGGGTGGCTGGAGGGGGGGGGGGAATCCCTTAAAGGGACAGGAACCGCCCAGAACAGCTTGGACGGGGTGGAGCTGAGTCAGAAACGTGACCGGGGTTCAACAAGGGTGGCAATGTTTATCTTCTCGTCCAAGAAGCTTCTTGGA